AAAAGCATCAAATGGAAGAGGCTTAGTAAGAAAATCAGCCGGCATGGAATTAGTAGGAACATGAGCGGTAACGATATTCTTAAGCTTGACATGATCTCGAATAAAATGATATCGAACATCAATATGTTTAGATCTATCATTTATTAATGGTTCCTTGCACAAAAAGACAGTACCCCTATTATCATTAAAAAGCTGAACAGCATCCCCAACCGATGAAATAGACACAGCTGAAACAGGTAAATTTAAATCCTTAAACAACGATTTGAACCAAATAGCATGGCGAGCGCAGTCGGAAATCGACATGTACTCAGCTTCAGTAGTGGATAATGCTGTAGACTTTTGACGTCGACTCCGCCACGAGATAATGGAGTTGCCAAAAGTGAATAAATAGCCAGTAACTGATCGTCGATCCACAGTGTCATTAGCGTAATCAGCATCACCATACCCTTTGAGATCGGCAGGCATAGAACCCCGAAAAATAATACCCCTCGAGATTGTCCCCTTGATGTAACGAACAAGATGTTTAGCCGCCTTCCAATGATCAAAGGTGTAACATGAGTTAAAACGAGAAAGTTGGCTGACAGCATAGGCGATGTCGGGTCGAGTACTGATAGCTGCCCAATTTAAGGAACCAATCAGAGATTGATAAGGTAAGTAAGCTGCCGCCGCAACATCCTCCGGAGTACCAGGTAGCAACTTGAGACCAATCGGAAAGGGAATTTTCACAGGATTTAAATTGTCCATACCAAAACGTTCAAGCATGTCATTAAGATAATGAGATTGATCCAAAGAGATAGCACCATCTTGATGATACTTGATATGCATACCAAGATGTAAAGAAGGTTGAGATTTCCATTTAAGTTCATAAGTTTTTAAAAGGTGAGTACGGAACTCATTCGCAAGAGCCTCGGAGCTTGAGATCATGAATCCATCATCAACATGCATGTGTAAGTAAATAAAATGATTCCCACGTTGATAAATGAATAAACAGTTGTCGGCAGTTGAAGTCGTAAAACCAAAAGCCAATAACTTGGAACGCAGATCATCACTAAAGTCACGAGCACCCTGACAAGTACCGTATAAGGATTTGTTAAGTTCCACACACATGCCTTCAGAACCCGGTTGAACAAAACCCTTTACCTGTTGAATATAAACCTTTTGCTTGATGAGGCCATGAAGAAAAGCAGTCATGATGTTGAATTGATATACAAAACATTTAAGATATGATGCAATAGCAACCAGAAGACGAAAAGTATCGGATTTTTCAACAGCAGAGTAAGTATCGATATAATCAAGACCTTCAATTTGACGATTACCAAAACACACCCATCTGGCTTTATACTTCAAGACATTTCCACTCTCATCGCGCTTCTTTTTCAACACCCACATACCACCAATCACTCTAGCACCTTCAGGACGGGGAACTAATTTACCAACTTGATGACGATTCAAAGATTCGAATTCTGCTTGCATAGCCTTCTTCCATTCAGCAGCATCCGGAGATTCCATAGCCTGTTTATAGGTAGGTTTGTCATTTGTATCCAAACCCGCATGACCAATAAAATTTCCTAAACGTTTAGGCTTACTAGTTGTTCTGACAGGACGATCACCTCTTCCACATTGTTTCGATCCGTTGGAGGGAGAAAGAGGTCCCCGATCAAGACATTGGTCTGATGTAGTAGTACGTAAAGAAGGAAGTAACAATGTTTTGAGAACCGGACTAAGAATAGGACTGTCTTTAGGAATATTACTGATAGCATGTCTGGTAGGAGTTATTGGAAGACGATTTGTGGAGGACTCGGAAGATGAATCAACAGATATTGAAGATGGTAGAACGGATGATGGCTCAGTAGTAGAAGAAGAGAGAGTAGGAATATCACAACCAGAATCTTGAATTATCAAAAAGGATGGAGACGTAGAACTAGGAGGTAGAGAAGTGAAGGAGAACGAATCCTCATTAAATACCACTGATCTGGTAACAACTATTTTCTTGTCGGTTAGATCCCATACCCGGTATGCTTTGGCATTCAATTCATAACCCACTAAAACACCCTCTCGCCCCTTTAAACCTAGTTTTCCTGAGATCCGTGGGGCAAGATAGACGGTTGAACAACCAAGCGTTCTTAAAAAAGAAGGATCGGGCCCATGTGCGCCCCCGCCTGGTAAAAAACTATTCCAAAGTGATAAAGGAGTGTCGAAATTAAGGAAGGCGTGAGGAGAATGATTCAAAACGAAAACAGTTGCCAAAGCTATTTCGGCCCATAAGTTAGTTGGTAAAGCAGCATGGTGCCCACGAGCAGTCACGCTGATGACGCGAGACTTGATATTGGCCCAAAAAATCTGAAAAAATCTGGTAAGGCAAAATGTGCTATTTTCTTCCAGTTAGGAGATTTTGGTCATTGTAAAAAAATTCTAGCACTCAGTTTGGTGATGTTCAAAATTTTTGTGGAACAACACATAAATATGCAGCACCAAAGCACTAAATTCACCCTTCAATATTGACAAGAAAAATCTGAAAAAAAAATTACAAGTGGAGGACAATATCCCCTTTGTTGAATGTTTTTTTCAGAATTTTTCTGGCTCAGTATGCAAGTCATCACATGTGTGTAATTTTAGGTACTTAAACGCTACTGCCATATGTACAAGGCTCCAAAACCACCCAAAAAAAAATTTGCAGCACAACAAAGGATGCAAGATCATCTGTACATGGTTTGGAGACAGTGTGTGGAATTTTGATGCCCCTGTGAACCAAAATGCATTTAAACTTTATTTGGCAGACTTTCAATGTTCTAACCTGCATGTATCCAAGACAAAGGCATCAAAAAATCCAAAAAAAACACCACACATCACAAAGGGGATTTCTGATCTCTCCTGATTTTTCTGGATTTTTTGGACTTCTTTGAGAGGGAAAAAGCTGGTAAAAACATCAAAAATTGCTTGCTGGGTTCATGCTGAGTATGAGGCTTTAAGCAACCCCGAAAAAACTTGACAGGACAAAGAGCGTTGTGTCTCTCTCCAGATCTTTTTCCAAGCGTTTTGGGCCACAACTGGGCCCACAATTCCAGGTACAATTTTTTGCCAATCATTTTTTGCTAGGGAGAAACACATTATTTTCACAGTGTTACTACTGTACTTTTGTTATTTATGCATATCTAAGGGCCCGTTCGGCTGGAACCCAAAAACAGTTTTTGGCCAAAAACCCCACCAAAGCCAAAAACCGTTTTTGGGTCAAAACAGTTTTTGGTTTTTTTCAAAAACGCCGGTGTTCGGCAACTTTGTTTGATCAAATACAAAAACCGTATTTGATCAAAAATTCATCGCTTTTGAAAAACAGCCTCAAGGCTGTTTTTCAGATCAAAAAGTCTTTTTGCCCCTCACCCTCCCTCACCTCCATCAATCACCTTCAACTCATCTCTATCTCTCCACATGACAACACCCTTTCATTTCCTTCACACACCCCTCTCCGTTACTCAGCTTTCTTTTCTATTGTTCTCGTTTATTGACTCTATCATCATTTCAACAACTACTGTCGTCTTTTCATCGACTATTGTTGTCGTTGTTTACCAACTCTCGTCATCGTTCTTTATCAACTCTCTCGTTGTCTTTTTATCAATCCTTTTGTCATCTTTTTAAAAAGTCTATTGTTGTCTTTTATAATACAATAGAAGCAAATGAAAGACTGGGTCACTGTGACAGATGTACCTTTGCCAAAAGCTGAATACACACTAGATACAAGTTGCTCTATCTTTCAGCATCTCGACGGAGTTCAGATTATTTGTACAGAAAGCTCAAGTCTCCCTCATCATCTGCATAGGCCTATGGAGGTTGTCCAGGTGCAACTGTGATGGATGGATGGATCAATTTGAAAATGATTCAATCAAAAAAGTCTTGTCATTTCATCTTGAACAAACAGTCGAAAGGTGATCAATGGTCAACAATGATCATTTTGATCTTTTGTTGACCTTTTTGGTCGACTGTTCGGTAATCTAAAAAGGCCGAAAAACGAAATCTCTATCCGCCCCTCAAAAACTATTTTTCAGGGGCGGATAGAGATTTCGTTTTTGTGTAACAATTTTTGGCTAAATCAGCCGAACGGGCCCTAAGTTTTTCTAAATTGACAAGAAAATTCAGCGAATCCCTTGAAGTTGACCAGATTCTTAATGCCATGGGTATCAAGTTTTGTTTTTGTATATGTATATATAGATATATATATATATTCGATTCCAATCACGATTCTCATCTACGTTTGTAACTCAAATGACTTGGTACTTCTCGGGTGTCATTCGCTCAGAATGAGTCATTTCTTCATGGACAAGCTTGACATTTCGTGCCTCTTGCAAAGACCAATGCAAAAAGGTTTTGAACTCCCTTCCCTGAAATCTAGCTGAGCCAGTACGGACATGGACAGGAGCAACCTCCCTTGTGCCTCGGAGTCGTATGTGTACTAGAGGTACTAGATATGATACATTCTAAAGTAATTATTTAATCAAAAGTGTGCTTCTTTATAAATACAACAAGAAAATAAAATCAAGAAAAACAAATATCCAAAGATATATACCGCCCAATCCTTAAAAGCTTCACATCAAAGAGTTTTCGATTTCTTCCCAATTCTTTAAACCAAAAGAATGATTTTCAAAGTTCAAGAGCTGATCAAGTTTTGGTATATAAGGAGGAATCGATTCTAATCTTTTAACTTTTTCCCAATTAGTTCCTTTTAACCAATCGCGATTCATAAGATCCTCAAAACAAATCGATCTAGTAGGGTCAGATTGATCAAGTAAATAATTAATAAATCCATCACACGATTCACTTATATCTTTTTGTTTAAAGTTTTCACCTAATAACTCAATCAGTACATGAGCTAATCTACCCCAATCTTCTTCACGTAAGTCACTTGAAAATGGTTCTTCAGGATCATTAAAACTTTCGAATGAATTATTACAATAAGATGATCTTCTCTTTTCTCCTAAAACTTGGAATTCATCTTCAACTCTTGCTGCTAATCCAAAATCAATTAATTTAATATGACCATCTAAACCAATCATAACATTATCACACTTCAAATCTCTAAATGCAATCGAATTCGAATGTAAATGATCTAATGCAAGAATCAATTCTGTAACATAAAATCGAGCTTGTTCTTCATTTAGACCATAATAAAACTTATCTAATAATAAATCAAGTAAGGTACCACCTGGAATAAATTCAAAAACTAATGCAGTAAATCTTTCTTTAATCAAAAAGTTTCCATAATATTTAGTTAAAAATGGATAATTTGAATCAAGTGAGTTTAAGATTTCAAGTTCTTGTTGTATAAAAAATTCGGTTAAACTTGAACTTTGATCTGAGTCTGATAAAATCTTGATAGCTAATAATTTATTTTCTTGTTTATGTTGTATATCTCTTGAAATATAAATTGATCCTTGTGAACCTTTTCCAATTAATGGACCTAATTCATAATCTGATATACTTAATATTCTTCTTTGAATTGGTTCAAAAGTTAATCTTTTAGGAGAAATGATTTCTGAAGGGTTTACCTCTTGAAAGGCTATGTTAGTAGGTGGGCTTAGATCAGATTTCATGTTATCAGGATGACCAGAGTTGAAGCCTGTGTTTGGATTTGATTTTCTCGATATGAAAGGCTGAGAAGTATGTCGATGAGAAGGGTTTGATGATGATTATTTAAAGGATATCAGTCTTGATAGTTCTTCTTATTATAAGTCAGCAGGTCAATCCAAGATGGACACTGCTTTATTGAAGCGAAAATGACCAGAATAGTCAATAGGTAAAGTCCTATGCATCCTCAAGTGCGATTGATGTTTAAGGAAATCTCGCTGAACGAAAAATCTCCTCATCCGAATCGTATCAAAAACATCGAACAATGTGTTGTTAGAATGCTGATTGAGCACTTTTGTCTGGAAATGTGGATAACAGTAGCCACTGATGAGTTTTTCTTCGAATTAGAAGTGAAAGCAACCTGGATGAGTGCAGTTGAGGTATATATAAGTGACTAAACCTCAGATATAACATCAAAAACTCATGAATTTATATCCACGATCAACAAAAGAAATATATCAATGAAACCTTTGATGACCTGAAAAGAGACAAGTAGGATAATACAAGCATCGCGATCCAATTTCAAAGAAGTCCAAATTAGGAAAATATGATTCAAGAACAATTAGAAGTCAGGAGATCACAGCATGTCACCGGTTAGGGAAGATTTCATGCTGAATGCATTTGAAAAGGAAAGAGATTGAATGATGATAAATTTAGGATCCCGGTATCCCCACCACCCCCCCTTGGTAGCCTCACCACCCCCTCCCTTTCACAGCTAGTGAAAGTGTCACTTACCAGTGACACAAGCTGTGACAGTAACACAGTCTCCAGACGTCCGTCTTCCGCACTCGAAGTTGCCTGGAGCATGTTTTCTCAAGTTTTCTCAAGTTTTTTCACACAAAATCCTAGATGAATCAACAGACGAGATGAATCAAGATTACTCCGATCGATTGAAAATGAAGACCAAATGAAAATCAATTCAACAGACCGATTGAAAATTAAGAATGAAGATAAATTAGTGAGAACGATTCAAACCAATGAACCAGAACAATAGAATGAATTGTGTCGAGTGGTCTTTTTCATCCCGTACTACCTATTCTACAGTTCTTCTAGAGAAACTATAGATCTTGATGAATTTGTTGATTTACTAGGTATGGCATTGAAGCGGGTAGATTACAAGAAGCCATCAATCTTTTAAAAAACAACATGGGAAACAACAAATCGAATGCTGAGATCGAATTACAACCCTATACGATCGCCTTCAAAGTTTCCGAACGCTTTTTAAAGAATTTAGAAGACATTATAGAAGAGCACGACGAGATAACGATTTGATTTTTTACCGTGTAGATTCAGTAAGTAGCTCTTTTCAACGGAAAATGTTTATCCTCTTTGCTCAATCACATCAATCATTATCAGAGTCATTCATTATCAGATACAAAGGACTGAAAGTTGTAACAAATTAAGAAATTCTACTGAAGTAAGAGGCATGAACTCAAGTGATACTTGACATATTCATGACCCGTTCAAAACCAAGCATGTGAGCCAAATTAGCAGCCGCTTCAAAGTCTCCAAAAGCCACTATCGAATATTTTGGTTTATAAGAAGGCAATGAACAAGTAGAAGCTAAATCAGCTCTCATTTGAGTTTCTTGATGAATTGAGTTGTAAATGGAAGAATGTAAATGAAGACTAAGACTGCTTTGAAGTTGTTGCCTTTGAATGCTGATTGAATCGAACTTAAGCAAAGTTTGTTGATTGTGCTGGGTCACGACACGTTCTTTTGTTGTGACCTGTCCCGTGGCATTGACTACATCGACGACCTTCATGTTTGGCATCCTGATGTTCGTATTGTGAGAGATCACGCTTGGATTTATTCGATGACCCTACAGGCCGACCACGAGATCAAATCGGATCTGGATCACCAACGGTGGGAGGTGGATTGATGAGGATCCGACTCAACTGATTACACAACACGCTTTGCTGATGAGCAGGGAGATTTCCATGGCGAGTCTGTATGCTGTCTAGTAGTGCCTCCAAATTAGGTACCTGCTCGTGCATAATAGGGACAACAAATCCTTGATCTAGATGCCAATGAGAGTCGAAGTGGGTTGGAGCCAATTTCCTTGAAGATGAGATGAGGTGCTTGAGGAAGTGAGCGCAAGGTAACCCTTGCAACCCAGAGAGTACGTAGGTGCATGTATTGGTGTTGTCCAAAGAAAGTGCCTTCTGGTATTGCTTGTAGGTCTGTTCGCATATCAGGCTTAGAACTTTGAATGATGAACAGAGGAGAGAAATTGTTACAAAACGTAGAAAGAACTTTACCTCAAGTAGTGCGTAGTGTGAAATTTTTTGGTTGACATCGCTCCAGATCCGAGGACGAAGACGAGATAAGGTATGAGTTTGATCGTATGCTATCTTTTGTGATATCTTATCATATTGCTGCTGACATAGAATTTCAAGCTTGCTATATACAGTTGCCAAATCACCGGTTGACTGCCATACCCAGCCTTTGATACCTGCATGACCACCTTCAGCTCGAGAAGTGACAGTGTGACCAAAGTGTTTGATATCCTTTGTCCACGCGGTGACAAATTTTTCCTTGTGAGTAACCCACGTAGTCTTGATGTAATTGAATGTAGGCTCATCAATCATAGTCCGAAGTGCCTCAAGGTTTGTGTCAAACTTGTCGGCAGAGAGTGAGCTGCAAATGTTCATCCAGTGGTTCTGAACTTTCTTCCATTCGTCATCGGATAGCTTGTTTTTGACATTGACTTGAACATTCTTCTCGATGTGCCACTTGCACAGTAGATTTTTGGCATCTGGCAGAGCTTTTGTCAGCGCGTTCATCAAAGCAAGTTCTCGATCAGTCACCACAGCCTGTAGTTTTGCAAGCTTTGGCCCATAGCACAACTTCATTTGCTCCAGAATCCAGCGATAGTCTTCCTCTGTTTCTTGTCGCATTAGACCAAAACATAAGGAGATGGACTGATGAGTTGGTGATACTCCTATAACATGCAGAAGTGGCATATGAAAACTAAATTAGAGAGAGACCAAAGTCAGCTTGAGTCTTGATTCTAGACGAGTTCATTGAGAATACCTCACCGATTGGTTTTGTATGTAGAATCCATCAGCAGCACATCAGATGTCCAGAACTCTGCAGCTGACTTTATACTAGCTTTGGGTGCAACAAAGAAGCGCAGAAGTCTATGATGAGAGTCTAGCTCAAAAGTATGGAAGACATCATTTTCCTTAAGGTTGTCAATTAAAGCTTCAAGTGGTGTGCGTCCATTGAGATTGATAAGTCTTTGTTTCTTGATCACATTGTAGATATCTTGACTTGTAGATAAGTTACTTGGGTCAGAAGCCTTCAGGGTACGTAGAATGAGTCGTGTAGGAACACCTGCATTTGCCATGTTAAGAACAGTGGTCAGCTGTTCCGGTGAAAGCTTCCGTGCAGCTGGTATCTCGGCAAGAGTTTTGGAAGGCTCGTGATTGATGTGCTGATCATTGGTGAGTTCAATGTTCCACCGGTGAGTGAATTGCTCACGTCGGACTGTAGCAGACCATTTACAACCCAGCTGCTGACTCGATGTAGAACGAACCCTACTCTCAACCGGCTGAGGAGTTCCACCATGAGCACAGACAAAAACACGCTTCTTGGCTCTCTTGTGTCTATCGTAACAGGTTCGGGTGATTTTCAGCCAGTAGCCCAATGTTTTGGTGTAGTTTCGTAGTGCATCCTCAGCTTCCTGTAGGGATGAATATGAGACCAGGAGTTCATCTATGTTCATTTCCGAGGTTGTGTGTTGAATTTGAATGGTAATAAGGTTTGAAGTGGTTTGAGTTTGGTCGAAGTGGAGTTGATGCGGAGAGAGGCTCAAGTAAAAGGTTTGATTGAAAACTCAATTGGTATTTCTGCACACGTGTTGTGGGTAATCTCAAGGACAGCTAGAGGCAAAGCCCGTGGTGCATTACTGTCACAGCTTGTGTCACTGGTAAGTAGCACTTTCACTAGCTGTGAAAGGGAGGGGGTGGTGAGGCTACCAAGGGGGGGTGGTGGGGATACCGGGATCCTAAATTTAATTGTCATCATAAGGTATGCGATTTTTGACAAAGAGCGAAAGCTCAAGAGCAAAATTGAATTCTCAATCTAATGAAAATATCACCAGTGTCATACTTTCATTCTCGGATCTCTAAGTAATTCCTCTAATATCAAATGTAAAGAAATCAAGAAAAAACATTGCATCTAACCTTTAAAGGTGGTCATTTTTGAAAGTCATGAATAATTAAACTGTCACATGCCTCGAGCGTAACTCCATGATATGGGTACAGTGGTATGACTCTCTGTAGTAGACATGCAGTAGCCTACGACACCAAGTATGATAATCGCATGATCAACCAGGTACGTAGTTCCTTTGAGGTGAAAGGATAAATATCTACTGATCAACCTTCACTGCATAGTTCTCGCAGGTGGCGGTCCAGAGAAAAAGCGCAAAGTATGAAGTTGAATAGACGTCCGTTCAGATACGAGTCATCTCTAAAGCTCAGAGAAAACACTTGCCTCTTTCCGAAGATGTATAGAGGAATTGTATGAAGATTGAGATGAGTGAAGTGAAAGTGCAATCATAAGACATCCTTGGACTTCACTGTAAAGTATCACTAAACTTGTGTTGCTCATTGTCAATTTGTTACAAGACAAGAATGAATTGGACCAAATCTGATATTCAACGACGCGTACAATCTTTCTTTGAATCTGAAGTATCATAATCTTCGACTTCTTTTCTTCATATCCCAATCCAAGACATTATCATCAATACACGCCCACCATGATGTAAATGTCATTCATCACATATAAATCAATCCTACTCACTCTTGCATTTCCGATTTCAAACAAGTTAGCCTACAGCTGAATCAGCAAGGTTGAGATTTTTTTGTTAAATTGACAAATGAAAATGCAAAAGAAATATGTAGAAGATTATAGTATCAAGATTATTCTATCTTCCCTTTGAAAAAAAAACACAATTACATCCCTCGACCTCTTCCACGATCTGATCCCCTTCCTCTTCCACGATCTGTACCTCTCTGTGAACCTCTTCCACGAAACGAACCAGGTGGTGCACCTCGTGTGTTACCCCTATTTGAATTAAATGTACCTCTTCCTCCGCCTCTTCCACCTCTTTCTGATCCACCACGATCTGTACCATTACCAGCTCCACCACGTGCCGATCGATTCTGTTGTCGATATGAATCTTCTTGCTGTTTTACAATATCAATCACGTTATCGGTCACTCGAATGTATTTTATCTGAATGAAATTATAAATTTTTAGAAAAAAGTATAAGAGGGAGAATCACAATTAGATAAGAGATGATCAGTTTGATGATATTGACATGAAAATCCTAAAATCCTGTGAAGGAAAAGAATGGTTTGTAAAACTCAACTGTGTTACCCCTGATATAACATTCTGAAAGTTTCCAAAACTTTTCACCATCCTATATTGAAATTCAAGATAAAGAAAATGATCAGATTGATGCCCCCCAAAACTATTAGTTTGAAAAGTAGATTCATACCGAACTTGTTAGATAGACTTCTCTCATAGTCAAATTCATAAAGTTATCTGAACCGAACAAAATTAAGAATCCCAAAGTGAATAAAGACCAGGTTGGAATTCCAAGTACAAAGTAAGTGAACTGACCTGATTGAATCAGATGGCCATTGAACGTTTCACCATTTTTGAGCTCTACCAACATGGGTTTTCCTTGTGCGCCATGGAGAAGAGCAAGTGGAAGCTACGCAGGTGATAACAGATTGATTAGTATGATTGATTGAAGGTGATATTGAGATTGACGATTGATAGACTTACCATTGGTTTGATGGTGAATTGGTATTGTTGATAAATTGAATTCCTTCGATCAAGCTGAAGCTGAGTTGGTGATGGTCGTGTACATCATCTCATCGAAGGATGTCATCGATATGTTACATGTGTGATAGGTCAGCTTTAAATCGGTTGATTGAATTTTTGGACTTCCGATCTTTTCACGCAACTTCATCTCATTCTCATTCTCATTCTCATTCTCATTCTCATTCTCATTCTCACCATCAACTCAGCTCAACTCAACTCAACTCAATGATCGTTTAAAGCGTTCTAGACCAGCACAAGTTAAGAAACCAATCCATCAAAATGTATCAAGTTGAACAAATCGTCACTTTAATCTTTTTGATTTCAATTCTACTCTTTACTCTCTTAAACATCAATCCATCCTCAATCTTCTTACCAATCATGATTATATTTGATGAACTCACTTCAATATTAAAAGCCTTTGGAATCATCGTCTTCATAATATTCATCTTTGTTGCAATCATCGCTCTTTGGGAGTTAGTCTTCAAGAAATTTATAAAAACTCCTTCACAACCTGGTAATCATCATCAAACAATCAATATCATCATCTTGATCTTATCAACTCTCTTTCTTACTTCATTCATCATTTCATCATTCAAACCTTCAAAGCGAAAAACCAATGCAAGCTTCAGTACAGAAGAAGATCAGAAACCTACCAAGCAACTTTTGAAATCTTATTCAACCGAATCAAATTCATTTCAACTCTTTATTGCAATCTTTTCATTATTTTTAATTTTAATCCTAAGTTCTTCAATGAAAGAAGATTTTAAAAATTGGAAAAATGAAAGAAAATTAAAAAAGTTGATCAAGAAATCAAAACTTACAACTCAATCTTAATCTTCAATAATCTCTCAATTATCTATGCTCCTGTAACATCAGAAACATGTCAAAAAGTTGAGCATATTTAATGGTCAGTCATGTATCATCAAGCTCTTTTTTTTTACTAAACTTCAAAGCTTATGCTTACTCTGCTGACTTGATTCAATTTTTCATAATCATTCAAATCAAGTTCATTGTGTGATCCATTGCATCTATTTCACTCCTCTGTAGTATCAAACACACTTTGTATTTCTATTGTTTGCATTTTCATTTGATTTTATAAGGTCATATGTACTCAAAAGTTTCAATTTCCTACCCCTCTGCAATGTCTGACTCTCAGACTCTTTTGTTAGAGAAAAACAACATGTCAATTTGAATCTGATTCAATCCAATCAGTATCAAGGGTATGTCATAGATTTAGTAAAATGAGTAGATATTTTCTTGTGTAACCTGTGACTTGAAAGAGGAGGAGTGAATGATGAAAAATTCTTCATCTGAATCAGAACATGGTCTCAGCTACCAAGGAATTGATACATGAAGGTGAAGGTGAGCTCAGCTCTAACAGATGGCTTGGCGATTGGAATCATAACCCAGGAAAGGGGATGGGTGATATTGGATGTTTCACAGATTACACAGCATCTGATGTAGATAGCAATAAGGAAGGATGTAAATCTCAAACCATCCAAATGATACTGAGATCAAGTCTTTCAAAAGATATACAGAATTTAGCTTGCTTTGCGATCATCATCAGAGGTGAATTGTGTATAATAAAAGAAACATCAACATGACATACTTGTGCTGTCAAGTGAAGATGATATGACCCATGAAAACAAGAAAACATCATATTCAAATCACAACTGAAAAGATACTTTTCAGAGATAGATTTCTGTGAGGTGAAGATAGGTGAAAATTGGAATGCTCAGCAATAAGATATCTTGAAAGATTTTTTTTTGTTTGCATAGTTCAACTATCTTAGATTTGATTTATCTGAACTCTTAGAAATATAAAAAGAAATTGAAAGGTACAACAAAATTGTGATTCTATACTTGAATGAGAATCAAATTGAATCAATCAAAGTTTTGTAGATATATTTTTTTTCTGATACATTTAAGGTTTTCAATGAATACCTATAAAACTTGTGAGGATTGAAAAAATAGATTGACTGCATAAAGATTCAATGGAAAAAGTTTTAAACATAGATCATTCTATGATAATGGTAGACATGAGTTCAGAAGAGATTTAGACTTTTATCTTTTACTTGTATACTTTCTCTTGATGAGCATTGTTTTAGTGTGAAAGTGGTCAGATATGATCTCGTATGGATGATGTAGATCAAGTATTGGGAGCTTTGGTCAGCCGGCCATCCACATCCATGATCACTAATTTGGTAAATGAAAAGAACTTGCGGAAGAAATGGTGCAAAGGAAATGATACAGATGAGTTCTGCAGGTGTGGATCATAATGCTGCTATGAATGCCGTTTCAGTGAGCTCATGGTGAGTTGCATCTCCTCGCTTCTTTGGGTCGAGGCTGGCACTCTTTTTTGCTACTGAGAAACCACGTAGAGGCACAACTGTGGATTTCAAAAGGAATTGAAGAAAGATAGTTTTGGGATAAGTTGATCAATGTATGGTATGGATCGTGATAGATAGGAATCAAAAACTTTCCAGAGATGCAACCTAAACCGACGAGTACAAGTAATACAACCCAAATGGTAGAGATACCATTCACATAAGCATGCATGAAGCGGGTCCTTAACCATTCTGGCTGTATCTCTCCCAACTTTTGTACATCCATTTCGACAAACTTTTGCATGCGTTCTAAGTCAAAATCACCAGATTTCGCAATTGTGACCAATTGGCGAGACTGGAATCCAGAGTTTTATTCTTAATCAATATCAAGTTTGACAAGAATAGAAGAGGAGACATCGGATTCTAGACGTCTCAACGAAGCCATGAATCTCACCAGTCGAGACGCAAATATGGTGTGTCCTATGGATACACCAAGCGTTGCTCCAAGAATCCGATTCAAGACATCTAAAATGTTCAGATCACTCAATAAATAATTTACATCGCGAAATATGAGTAAGACAACTTACATGTGGAAGTACTACTTGCCAGATCCGCTACGGGCATTGCTCCTTGCAGAGCAATCAAGGGTGGCTATAAAAGACCAAAGGATCAGGATGTGGATATGATTTGCTTTTCATTACCACAAGACTCACTACAAATAAACCACCGGTACCCATAGCAGCTATGAAGGGGTAGATCTCTTGCTTCGTGATTGAGCTGGTCTCACTCAGTTGTGTCATCCTAAGAACGTGCAAGTGCAAAGGAGAAAGATAAAAGTCAAAGATTTGGATTTTGCACTCAAGGTGATATATTGAAAACACTCACAGGCCATAACCTATGATCTGAACGCCCCAGCAAAACCACAAGATGTATCTGTAATCACTCAGACTAGGAAGAATGAGTCCACCTAGAGTAGTGAACAAGCCGGTTGTAAGACTGTAAGCTAAGCCCTTGATCCCTGCCAAAGTTGCAGACGCGCCCAGAGATTGGAAATACAATGGGAGATAATAAGCAGATGCATAGTATACAACGGCATGTAAAAAAGAACAAAGTAAAAGTAGCGCAGGAGTCCGGTCCATAAAGAGTCTAGGTGGAATGATAGGTAATCGCTTGGTAGTCAATTCTACAAAAACTGTTAAGCCCAAAGATGCAATACCTAGACAAAGACAAGAGATGGTTGCAGGAGATCTCCAACTTGATTCTGAAAAACTAAATCCAAGTAAAAGTAAAGACACAGAGCAAAAAATACAACTTAATCCAAGAAAATCAAAAGAAGAAAGATGGGATTTAAATGATTTCTTTGGTGGTGGATTCGTGTTCAAAAATAATGTGATAATCGTGCAAGAGAGTGCACCCAAAGGAAGATTGATGTAGAACGTCCACCTCCAGCTAAGTCGGTCTGTGAGTATGCCGCCTAACACTGGTCCTAAAACGGCTGCGATACTCCAAGTGGTACCTGTTGCTCCTGTTTTGATCAAGATTATTGACATGATGAGCGTTTTGTACGGTTTACGCTAGAATAAGAAAAAAATTGACCATACCTGCCCATTTGCCACGCTCCTCCAAGGTTGTGATGTCAGCCATTACGATTTGTACAAGTGGAAAGATTCCACCTCCACCGACACCTTGCAGACCTCTGCACAAGATCAACCATGGTAGATTTTGAGCTGCCCCACAGAGTGCAGAACCGACCAAGAACATCACAATTGAGCCAACCAGGACTGGCTTTCGACCCACGGCGTCTGATAAGCGACCATACAACGGACTCAATGCTGAAAGGTGAAGGTGAAGAACGAGGAGTGAAATCCCGCTAGATATATCAGCAAAACCAAAAGCATCCAAAATGAAGTGTCCAGGGAAAATGACCTACTTGCTGTAACTAGAAGATACGCAGTACCCACCCAAGAATATCCTGAGAAACCATGAAGCTGAGCTATTATGCGGGGCAGAGCAATGGCCACAATTGTTTGGTCCATGGCAGCTAAGAACAGTGCCAACATTACTGACAAGACGTCCGGATGGACATAGAGAATCGTGGTCAATACCAGCCAAAATTTGGATAATCAATATAGGTAGCAGCTCAAGCTTACGGCCCAGAAATACGATGGGAAGCGAATTTTCTGGAATGATCTGTTCTTCGTCCAGATCACACCAAAGCTTTTCATCCTTCGGGGAGGTCTCAGTATTAACTTTAGTCATTGCCTCCTCGTGACATCCTTCAACCTTGGGAATCTCAAAAGACTTTTGAGATGAAGGAGCAAAGGGAGCCATGATGCCTTCACGAAGAAAGATAAAGTAGATGAATCAGAACTCGCAGGAAAGAGAAACTTTTAATGTGGCACAGAGCTACTTATCACGAACCAATGCTTACTATCAAGTTGAGTCTAGTATATATTTTGCCCTTTAACCCCAGTGGGGTTCAGATCTGAGTCTGATTCTGAGTCTGAGAAGTCTGAGACCATGCCTCAGTCTCCACGTATTTCGGTACGTAGGCAATGGTTTTTGATACGTTCTACGGGATGCGTAGTCCTCGATCCGTATGAAGAAAACAGTTGTACCAAACACCGGCCCCAAAGGCGGTGCTGTGCACGTTTTTATATGAAAACATACTGGTTATGTTACACATCAAGATCATAAAGATGGATGAGGACCTGTGAGGATATCTATGTGTGTAGCTAGTTCCAGAAGCTGTGGAGGCGAATTTTCCAATGGTTCTGAGGGTAACCGGTTCGGCGCCTTTTAATCCAGTGATCAAGTTCGTAACTGGGTGGGTGAAGTGGAGTACTTGCCGACTGAATGCCGATCACTATAACCATTCGACCTCAACATGGCTCTGGAGGTAGAGTGAGTAGATCTTTCTTTGACATATCGTTTCGAAGGGCGCGTGATCTCTTTAACAAGCTATCAGCTGTGTTCTGACCGCACAACTTGCTGCAATCCAAAAGTTTGAATACTTTCGGAACATTTCTGTCACGCCGGCACGACAAAAGTCGGCGGCACCAAGGTCCCAACGTAACTTATCAGACTCAGAAAGACTTACATACTTGTTCTTTGCGTTGAAATTTGTACAATGCAATGCCGAAACTACAATATGCATATGCAGAATTCAGTCCAGCGATGTTGCAAGTTGATCGACTCTTTCTGGGAGTCGCCACGGAACCTTCGCGAACTATGTTACATGAGATCTACGTAAAGGCACCACCAGTTTATCAAAGCTTTTTCGAGCTTCCGGCATCTCATCGTCAAACTCGTCAAAGACTTTACGCGACAACTGCGTACTTATTGAGACTCGACGGAATTAAGGAGTCAACCAATACCAATTCAATACCAATGGCAACACACTTGATCGACTTCGCGCACATCAATCACATCGATCGCTTGCATTTTCCTTCAAACGCAAACCTCTTTCAGTGCACTCAACATTATCGGATATAGCTTTGATCACGGGTGGTGCACATGTAGTTATCGTGGTTTGTCCCGTCCAAGCTTCAATCAAACCCCAATTCACTTGTGTCGAGTTATTTTACAGATTTCATCAGGGTACATCTGTTTGTTGGTAAGGTGTGATAGTAGAAGTTAGAGCCAGCAGACTATCTTCAAGCAATCATCTTTTGGATGGGTTTCCTTGTATAAATGAGAAAAGCTTGAGTACAACAAATTCTCTGTTGATCAAGACAAAGGTCACCTGAATAGAAAATTTCAAACTGCTCTGATTTATAAAAAGTCCACGCAATACTTTCTCTCCATCTTGTACACGGATTTGATCAGGGGAGACCTACATCTTATCAGCTTGTTTATCTATCTATTCACCGATGCGTTCATTTATGAGAGCGCCTACGCATGATAAGGAATTGCAACAGTCTCGATCTCACAGAAGAATGGGACCTATCATTAACAAACGTCTTTTTGTACAATACACTGTCTATCACAACAAATTAATCATATATTCTTGAAGCCGGCCATCGAAATTGAAAGCGTAGATGATACACAAAATTAGCAAATCGCCTTCCCGGACTTGGCGACGAGCTAGGGGCGCGGGTTTTCCACGATATTAGTAAGACCTTCCTGGTACCTGTAGCACCCCGACCGAATAATCAGTGTTTAAAATATGACTCGAAACTCGGGAGGAGAAATGTATACCACTGGGTGGGAGCTAGAAAGGCCTCCATCGACAGGAATAACTGCACCGTTCACGTCTATGTCCAAAACAATGATGTGTTATTAACAATTTTCCATTCAAGATACCAAGTAACGTAGACTAATCGAGTCGGATTGGAAATTTCTAGGAAGGCGTGGCTCACATGATGAATCTCCGCCAGCTAGGAAGAGCACGACACCTGCGACCTCATCAGCAAGTCCGTATCGTCTCAAAGAGCACAATTGTCCAATCTTGCTCTTGTCAGATGTAAGGCTGAAAATTGGATCCGTCATTTGAGTGTGTATCAAGCCTGGACAGATCGCATTAATACGAATGTTGGCTCCAGGATAAGCATTAGCTCCTGTTAAGGCCAATGAAGCCACTGCTGCCTTCGAAGCGGAATAATCAGCTGAGCCGGCACCTGATCTGATACCAGCTATTGAAGAGGTCAGGATAATGCTTCCGCCTCGATGAGTGTTTGCATTCGAAGTTTGAGTGTCTTTGTTCTTCAGCATGCTAGCGGATGCGTATTTAACAGCTAGCCAACACGATAGGGCGTTGATTTTGAGGACTTTTTCCACAGTTTGATAGGAAGTAGACTGGATGGGTGCGCCAGTGGCAATCCCGGCCTGTTGAGATGATCATGGCGATCAGGATCGGATGAGCACCTGAAGATAAACTTGACAGTTTCAGAATGATGCTTACATTTGCAAAGAATACATCCAAATGACCGTGTTCCTCCAAAGCGGCATGGCAGATCGTCTTGATCAACTCCTCACTGCTTGCGTCACCCTCAAATGTCGAGACCTGCATAAGTTCACAGAAAATCCGGTAAAGATAGAATCATTTTAATTGTACTGATAGCGTGTGTGACAGAAATGAATGTATTGCTACGCACTCCAATTTCAGGCGAGATGCCTTTGATCTTGCTGGATAGCTTTGGGAGGGCACTGCCGTCCATGTCTAATAAATACATGTGCTTAGCACCTGGGATATGAAGTTGTCAATCGTTAGTTTAGCGGGTGATAGCCAAAAGATGAGGACCATGTTTCAAAATTTATAAGTGTATGGCAAACCTTCTTGAGCGAAGAGAACAGCTGTTGCCCAGCTAGGTGAGGAGTTCGACATTGGTTCTTGACTACGACGCTTGACTATAAAAGTCTGGGAAGCTCACCCGATCCCTTTCTCATTGCCAACGCCAGTCAAGATACACACCTAAAACCAACCCGAGGCAGAATCTTTGGGTCAGTTTTCTAATCCCACTACGTCATCGTTCGAGGATCTGAACTCGGAATTTCAAAGAAAGGATAGATGACCTTTCCATGTAGTTTCCTGCTTGAAGTTCGGCTACTGAAATGTCCAAGGATTTGAGCAAGCCTTTCAACGGGTTCACCTTTACCCTTGCCAGCGTTTGTCGTCCCCGAGGCTTTGTTCATCGTTGACTTGCACGAAGAGATGACTCCAGTCTCCAGTTTACCAACTCATCAACTTTACACAGCGATCGCTCCTTTGTTCGGTTTGGAACCTGTCGGACCGGATATCGGACATGGGCGCGCTGAAAGCATCTTTGCATGACGAACGCAGGCGGTGCATTCTGCGTCAAGAGTGTGTGGATTTCGCACCTTGATGCATGCACTTGCGTGTATGTGTATATGGATATGGATATAAAGCCCCTCTCCTCGCAAGGTAATCTGTCAACTGCTTCGTGGTGTCAAACAGGCCTGTCTTCGAAACACTCACCTGCATTTGTAGAAAAAAACAAAGTGCCGTCTATCAAAGCAATGAGTTACAATCAACGGCATTAGACTCAATACCTTTCATCAAGACACCATATTTCAGCTAAACAAATATAAATGTGATGGACTTGTATTTGATTTGAGACACTCTGGTTCTCAAGCCCACTCCCTTTGTTGGTCCAGAGCCTCAATATTGCCACTCAAATTGAAATCAATGTCTCTCACAGCCCCCAATCACAAGTCACTGACAGGCCAGTGCATCCTGGCAACTTGAAAATGTTTTGAATTGGATATCAAATGGATATCACCCATTTATTGAGAAGTTATTGAGATGATGTCATATGACATCATAAATCTGTACAAACTTGCTTTTATGATCCTGTTTCATGATCCTTATACTTAGTTATGCTTATACTTGTATAGCACACTCTACCTCTCTACCAAGTTGTACACCCATGCCTATGTGCTTTTTCCTCATGGTACAATCTAAGCATCAAAGCATAAACTGCGCAACATATCCATTCCCAAGAGACAACCCCACCATCCATGGTCCATCTAGAGCTAGAATCTGTATGTAAGACTTTCTATATTGAATCACATTGTACCATCACTTCAAGTACAGACTCTACCAGGAACAATTACACCACCAGGTCACTATTTCCGTTCATCAACCGGATTTTTCTCCGGTTGATTTCCGGTTTGTCCCTGACTGGGGAAGAACTTGTTTTGAACGAGTTCCTCCCAACCGTGCTGCAACGGGGGCTTTCCCCCGGGTTTTCAACCGGGTTCCAACCAACAAAAACCCGATGATGAGTGGAAAATGCCCGGTTGTGCTGCTCAAGTCAGGCTGATTCTCTGTGGTCAAAAGCACTTGAAAAACAAAAAAAAGTGGCTCAGTCTGGCTCAGGTTTTTTTCTCTTGGGCGGTTATTTATACATGGTAACAATTTCTAAAAGCACAACATAGTGTTTGAATTGCAGGTAATAAATTTAAAGAATACAGGAGGGAGAATAAACATACACATCAAAGCAAATTGTAAAGTGGATGAGAACTTAGAAGCCACACTGTATTAGTTTTCAATTCATGATCTGAATTTGGGGTTGATTTATTTAGAGACATTTGCTTTGAAGCATCAGAATAACAAGGTACTGATCCATCAGAATCCACTAGAGCAATCAAATATGAAACAATAGCTTGTCGAGTAAAGGTTTTGAGCGCCACACATTTACCTACAAATCGAGTTTGAATCAATTTGAGCTCATTCTTCTTCTGTCTCATGATTGTTGGGGTTAGATTCCAAAATGTACCCCATTCAAGACTAGGAATAGTAAATGCTTGTTGTTTCAAACTTAACAGTATCATCTTTGATCTTGTCTTGCATCACCGCGCCTTGATGTTATAATGTCACATTCTTGGATCACATGATGGAAGATCAGAGGGAATTGCAAGAGGGTTTTTCAGTTTCTCTTGACAGAAATTTGAAAGAATGACATGAAACTGACATTTATTTCATTGTTGAGTGATCTTGTATGGATCATGATTTCCTCTGACAAAGACTTCAGGATCTCGCAATCGAGCTATCTTGATTGAGCCATCTTGATCAAAAAAAATATCGAACCAACTTCGGCTTCAGTATCATGACCTTTTCTGGAGAGTACATGTACTAAAAGGTCTGTTAATCAAATTAGTGGTTTAATTTGATGATCTTGGATTGCTTGGGGCCAGCGAGTGAAGACTGAAGCTGAATCTTACCATTGCTCGTGTTATAAAAATTTGTGGTGAAGCAGAGGCAGAAGTGCGTGAGGGGGTTCGATCGAGCACATGGTGGCGGAATGGTATTTGGTTCCTGAAAATCAATCAAGAAAATGAGACTTCCAAAAAAATATGACTCATTTTTGGAATTATTCATTCTTGTGGTGATGAGGGTGATGTTGGCAATCTGGATGCAATAACTGATGATGATGTTGATGTATGGATGAGGTTGTTTATCAATGATCAATGATGTGGTTAGTTGATGTGGTGTTGATGACAATGATGATGATGAAAACGATTGTGTTACAGCTGTTCCAACAAAGATTGATTTTTTTTGGAAATCTCGCCAATGTGCAAAACCCGGGTTTTGTCCCTCACTTGATTTTGTCTCTCCGCTAATTGGAAGAATACAGGGAATAATAAACCTGTAATCAAGTTTTGTCTTTGGTTTTAGCCACTGCAGAGACAACTTTCTCCAAAAAAAAGTTGTCAACCTTTCTTGGAACGGCTGTAAGTAGACTGTTGATTCGACCTTTGATTTGACCAAAAGGTCAACACTTTGATCAAGTGTGTTAAAATAAGCCCTGTGGCTTGCTTGTGGCTTGCTTGCTCAGCTATGAAAGCGGTCAAAAATCCATTTTGGATCTGTTGGAACTTGAACAATTGCAGAACGGTTACCAATCATCATGGTTTTGCAAGTGCTTCATCACATGCGGTTGATGAACTGTTCCTCAATTGGTTGATCACTGTTTCTGATAGACCAATTGAAAAACCGTTTTTGGGCCGTGGCATAACTGGGTATGCCCCGGTTTGTACTCGGTGACTTTTTCAAGCTCCCAAACCCGGTTGGTCAACAAAAAGTGACCTGGTGGTGTATAATTAACACCTTGCCTTAAACCTCATTCCATGGCACAACTCTACATCACAAACCTTTTGAATCAAACTTTCTACAGCACAACCAATCTTTATACGAATTTGATCTAAACAAAGTTCTGAAAGTGCAGCTTTACTTATACAATATCAACACAAACCTCTTACGGCGAAACTTTAATTGATACAACTGATACAATGGATCTGTGATACAACTGAAAATCCTCTAGTAATCACCAAACATCATTGAAACAACAAAGTACAGGATCTTAGGTGATAACAAGCACAATTCCAATGGTTCTGAGTCTTTGCACATACTGCTCACACCACTGGTTCAATGGCAAACCTCAAAGAAATCAGACACCAGATTGCAAAACTCAATACTTGTTGTAATGCTGAGATGAACCTTTGTCTCAGGGAGACTACTTGCTGTGAGGAAGCTGAAATCCGTCTGGAAGCAGCTATATACAGCCAAACAAAGACCACAACCCCCTCTCTTATTCCCCAAGATCACCCAGTAGATTATGACACAGCCCCAAGTGCTCCTATGGCTAAGATGGCCACCCTGGATGAATTTTATGGGAAGAGAAGAGCTGAGGCAGAAATCTTTATACAACAACTGACATTATATGTCTTGAGAAATGAAATCTCTTATCCTACAAAAGTAAAACAAAGTTGTGTTTTGCTATTTTGTATTTGACCAGAGACACTAGTGTTTGGGCAGCTCCATTTGCAGGAAACGTTCTAGGGGATAATAAAGAATCTTCCAGGAGTTTTGTGGAAATATTCAAAGGTACTCACTTTGATCCTCATTGCATCATCAAAGCAGAGAACACATTTACAGTGTTATGGCAAACTAAGTCAGTTTTAGAGCATACAATGTGCTTCAATCAACTTGCCAATATCATCAACTGGGAGGACAGCACTTTGATGAGCCATTTCAAGGGCCACCTAAACCAAAAATCACAGTTCATTTGATCAGAGACACCTCAAAGACAAAATTAGAACAATCAATATGCGCTGCTATAGAGGTTGACCATTTACTACACCCTAATTGTGACATCATTTACTTATTTCATAAAAAATCAGATGAGAATGAAACAGTAGTTCAAGAGGGAGGAGAGAGTGGTAGTAGTACTTACAGAGGGAGTAGAGCAGATGATGCTTTGAACTTCTCAACAATGTGGTTTGATATGTCAAAACAGGAGTTCTCCCTTTGTAAAGCTAAAAACCTGTGTTATTGTTGTGGAAAGCCAAATCACTCAGTCTGAGCCTCTTGTTGTACTCAAGCAAAATCAGATAGACAAAAGAAGAGTGGATTCAAATGCTTTGAGGCTCAAATTTCCAGTGTTTCTGTGAATAGTAGTATTAATGCAGACAAGTTACAAAATGGCTCCACTCATGAATGATGCTTACACCTATCTTGAGCAGTATTAGTGGTTGTAATGTGAACATTGGTGCAAATAGATTCTTAATTGATTCAGATCCTAGGAGATTCAAATGCATGACTGTTTGTAACCCCACCTGTGCCGTAGCCAATCCCCTGTGCTTACTTGATTGTGATTCCACCCTACAATGCATGTATTCTGTTTTGACAACAAGTTGGTGCTGATAATTCATGTGGAGTTAGCTGCACTGGGGGTGAAAGCAACACCTCCCATCAAGGTGAAGGAAGTTGACCCAGGACATTTCCCCTCAAATGGCACAATTCTTGAAGACAATGAAACAGAAGAACCTCCACCCAAATGAGCTGATGCTGAGGTTCCCAAGCATGACTCACAAGAAATTGATTTTGACTTGCTTCCTCCAGTCAAGGTTGTAGCTGAACTTGATGACAAGGGTGAGTGGAATGCTGACAAAGTGGAAGAAGAATTTCCAGTGACTTTGAGTGTGGACAAAGAAGTACTACCCACCCACCACCAAGAGGCAACCAATGTGGACTACATATTACACAAAGTAAGTGATTTTTTATCTGATTATCCTATGATGAGAATTCATAAGTGAAAAACTGACTCACTTATATTTTGTTCAATCAGGTCAACTTCATTACACATCATATCACTCAATCTGTAGCCTGGTGTGCTGAGTTCAAGCAAGTCGCTGTCCAAAAGGGTTTCAATGGTTCAATAATTGCAGGCTATGGCATACAATGGAACATCAAGTATTAAATTCAACATAAAGTGTGGCTTGCCAAAGCGGTAAGATATTTTGTCTTTGTCTACTTCAAACATCATATCTTGTATCTTTCAGGGATACACACACTGACTGACATGTTATTTAAACAGGTAATTGATGAGCTGTGCCAAAATGACTTGGACTTAGTCCATTCAAAAAATTGACCAGCTTGCAAGAATGAAAAGACATGGCTGATTTCATGAACACAAGATATCTTAATGGGCCCAAGTCAGTAAACTAAAAACAAGCTGGAGGTATTTGACTTTATTTATTTTCACTTTATATGTCTCATATTTTATTTCTCTTCCCTCGATCCTCTGCTGTTTATTTACATTGATTTTTCTCCTTTTCCAGCCTTTCCTCAAGCTGGCTCTTCTGATGGAGGGAGATGGACCAACAGGATACATGGCCATCTGTTCCACTCTGTAATGCGCTTGAAAGAAAGATTGACCCCCTCAGCATCACCAATGCAATCTACCAGATGCTAGCCAAAATAAAAGAGAAGATGATTGAGTATGAACAAGGCCCTTTCTTGTGAGACTCTGGTAATGGCAGCTTTACTTCACCCTTTTTTCCGACTTAAGTTCTTTGCAAAGTGGTTTGGAGAGTACTCTGCGGTAACCATAAACGCTGAGGCAACCTTAAAACATATTTATCAAGAGTGTGAATTGCAACATCCTACCCATGACAATTCAACAACTACTTTGCGCACTAAAAACTCACAAACCCCTGCAAATTCCTCACCAAGGCCCAAGATTTTTTGTGAAGACTCTGAAGATGAAGCAGAGATTCAAGAGCCTGAAGATAATCAGATAAAGAACTATCTACAGCAAGTGGATAGAATGAGGGCTGAAGATTATAACATGCAGGATCCTGGCACAGGTCTTGAATGGGGGAACATGTGTGATTGTGTAGTTCTTCCTTTTCTGCATCAAGCTTTCAGATTGTTAATCTAAACATTTTTGCATGGATCAATATTTAGTTACACACACCCAAGTATTGGATCTTAGCTCTCATTGCAAGAGACTACTTGGCATCAACTGGATCATCTTGTGCTCCCAAGTGCATCTTTTCCTGCGCATCAGATGGTTGTGCCTGTAGTCAAGGTTCCTTAATGCTTAGGAAAATTGAGCAGCTTGTTTCCAGTCAATTGTGGTTGAGGCAAGGGCTGGACCTGGGTGAGGATTTTAAGGAGCTTGCAAAAGTTTTGAAGATGTTGGGCATAGTGATGAATCAAATTGTTCTTTCATATTTTTTCTTCTTCTTTTGTGTCCTGTTCTTATATTACTTCAATGATTCACAATTTCATTTTGATCTTTTGATACTTTTTCCTTTTATTACTTCAATGATTCATATGTTCATATTTTGATCTTTTATTTTTTCCTCTACTTTTCTTTCTTCTTTTTCCCCACTCTTATATTACTTTAATGGTTGTTTGTTTATACTTTGATTTTTTGTTTGGACAACGATGGCGTTTTCCAAAGAGGCAAAAAAATGTTTAACACATGGAATCTATGAGACTCAAGGGGTCAGCCCAAGTACCAAATATAATGGGTAGGATACAGACGTTAGTCATTCCAGAGGAGAAAAAATTCAAGACAGATATCATGTGAACACTATTTCTTGCGTTCCGTTGACCATACACCGTCAATTTGATGGTTGATGTGTTAGATAGGGTATAGAGGAGCACAAGGCACCAGATTTTAACGAAATTCCCTCTCATTGAAAAATGGTATATCACAACAAGCAGAAAGGACACATTTGATTCTAAATCTTTTGAATGATTCCCTTAAACAATCTAAACACGACAATTGGCCTATTGAGAAAACAAAGATAAGCATCAAGAGTTGATATTACTAACTTTGAGGATAAATTTTCCAAAATACTTACTAAATCAATCAAGAATATATCACAAGCATCAATCTTTTCTAATTGATCCATCACTGTTGCACTATCTTTCTTTGGAACCATTGCAGAAACCGCAACCCAAGTTTCGTCTTCCAAAGGACTCACAGTCGCAGACCTACGTCCAGGTGTTAACTTTATAGCTTCTGGTAATCGTTCCCGTTTGATATTGTATTGACAGAGTACATATCGAGCTGCAGCAACGACTCCCTTGATCCGTGAGGTGACTAATTCGGTCAGTAGTCTTTGAGTCTCTCCTCTCGGTTTCCTTGTAGATTTTATTAAAACTGCTTCAGAAGTCATTAGCGTATGAATGGCGTGAAGTCCAGCAGCACGCATTGTTTCACCGGATTCTATGAGAGAAAGCTTTTTGATCAGGATCACATTCCTTATCCCCAGAGCGAGTTGAAGACTAACCAACGAGATCCACAATACCATCAGCTAAACCCAAAGCGCAAGCAGCTTCAACACTTCCTCCAATATATTCAATAATAGTACCTTTCGTTTTTGATTCATCTTGATCTTGACCATTAGGTGATAAAGCTTTTGAATCTAAATCTTCAAAAAACCTTTTACTAATCACTTCAAAACTAGTGACAATCTTTTTACCACAAAGTTCTTCTACAGTTTTGATATTCGATTTGATTGGAACTTGAACTTGAAGTTTACATTTTCCAAATCCTAATGGACAAATTTCTTCAATCAAGTCATTTACATCTGCTTCTGCTACCATATCTTGTCCTGTAATCGCTAAATCTACATTTCCTTCTCCAACGAATCTTGGTATATCAGCTGCTGGTAAAAAAACTCTGATATGAAAGAAATAGAGAGATTTACACCGAGGGTTTTTTAAATCAGTTTAAACTCAAATTAAATGTCTATACATCAAATCTTTAAGAAACTTACAATGCCATCTGATGATTTCCAACTAAACAGACATCTAAACGATGAGACCGACTAAACTGAATATCTGCTCCAGCCAAGATTTCTAAACATTTCTGGTATAGTCTACCTAAATCATGTTAAGTCAAATTAAATATCACTTTTATGATAAATCATCCTGACATTCACCTTTTTTAGGAATCGCAAATAAAAGTCTATCCTCGAGCGATTCTAATAATGGGTCCATCTTGTAAGTTTTGAATGGTTTGTGTTCGTGTTTGGGTATCCTTGAAGGTTGAAATAAAACTTGTGGTCTTAGAATCTTTGGCGCGTGAAATAAATCCAAAAATTCAGAGAATTCGAAGCTCCGTGAAATTATTCAAGACGTCTCGCGGCTCGCGAGCCATTTCACATTACCTTGAACATTTCACATGTATTTGATAATATTTGATAAAGGCTCGGCTCTCACGCGCCTCAAAGCCCCGAAACGTGAGACACACAAATTCAAACACATACCCTAGTAACCACCCTCCCATCTGTAGCAGGGCTACTTAACGCTAGTCTGTATCAGGATCTGTTACATGTTTCATCTATTGTATTAGAGCATCCACTATGGGTGCGTTAACGATGTGATTTAGCGTTAGAATAACGCTAAAATCCAGACAGGTCTACTATGGACCTGTTTTAGACATGCGGTCCGTACGACTGCGTCAAATCTTGCACTCCCCTTGTTCAAATCTACGCAAGCCTACGACTTGATTTATCGTAGACTTTTGGCGCATCAAATCGGTCAACAGCCATCAAATGATCTATCTGTATCCATCCCACTCTGCACTCACCACCTTCAATCAAAATCTTCCCTCGTCCCTCAAAATCACAGCTTGTTGATGGTAGCTGTTTATAACTCTGAATTTGCTAAAAAAAACGCATTTTGTTTTAAAAAAAATGATTCCGTGCGATTGATTTCACCAAGATCGAGCAAGATGTGAGAAAGCTCGATGCTCATTGTCAACACCTGAAGCCATCATTTTGGTTCTTTCTGGCTACCAAGGTAGTCATCATCATAGAAGTGAGCTGGGTGAGGCGTGGTAAGATACTTCAATTCGAGTCTCGACTTTGCCATAGCGTGTATAGTGTTCTAAGAACAGATTATCGTAGTTAAATCCTACGTTACATCATCCCATAGTGGATTTCATGCGGTTAACAACTTAGCTACAACACGCATGATTAAATTTTGCGATCAGGACCGCAAAATTTACGATAAAACACCCTCAACATAGTGGATGCTCTTACCACTTATACTCGCCATTATGTTATACAACCTGTAAATGGCTTATACTATATATTGTAATACCGGCTACTCCATAACCGGCCTTCTGCCCTTTTCCGCCATCTTGTATCCCTCTTAGAGCATCCGCAATCGTCGGGTTAAGTCGCGAGAATAGCTAAGTATTTAACTTACCGATCTCGAAATTTCCACAATGGTCAAATTTCAACCGATCGTTAGTTAGCTTTTCGACAAAAAATCGGTAGGCTGGGACAAAGTTATCCCAGCCTACCGACGCGGTAGCTAACTCCGTGCCCTCGAATTTTGAAAACACAACACCCACCACACTACACTTCCACACATCAAGTCACTCACCAACCCTACACGACTTCACCAATGTACCTCGATCCTGACTTGAAGCTTTGCTGACTCTTTGTCCACGACTCCCACTTCAAGTTTCACCTCAATTTCATTTTTCTTTTTGCATCGATCTCAATCACTTAGTTGCATGTTATCTTAGATGATAATAGAGTTGTTCAAAAAAACATGCTCATGATGGAATTGATTGAGTAATGGATGTGTGGGATCGAAATTAGAAGATGGTAATTGATCAAAAGGGAAAGATCGAGCTCACATTGATGGATGAAATACAAACACAGGAGCACTTGCAAAAGTGAGGACAGCTTAGCTCCAAGCTAGAGCTGACGACTGTAGGCCCAGTCTTTAACTTGGAGTTTAGCTTTCTTTAACTTGGAGTTAAAGACAGCCACTGTGGAATTTTGTGTCAGATTACTTAGCTCCGGCTAAAGATCTTTAACCTAAAGTTAACTAACTCCAAATTTAACGCAAACGGTTGCGGATGCTCTTATAAGGAACACTTTGAGTCCTTCTCTTTTATTCCTCAGTCTTCTGATAATCTCTTTTCTTTCATCCACTTTTGGATAGTAATACATCTTAATATCAATCCTTCTCGATAATCTCCTTTATAATCCTTTAAAGTACCTTATCGACCATCTCCATTAAAATAGCCTAAGTCCTTCCTTCAACCCATACCTGGTTTAAGACTTCCATTCCTAATCAAGGAATAGCTTAACGTAAGCACTTAACGTAGTGCCTGTTACATTGGTAGCGAGATCTTTCTTTTACGACGACAATCTGATAGTTTCTTTGAATTTTCTTTTGTGGGGAATCTCGACCCTTTATATAACTTTTTCTTCCTTGGTGAACAGTCGTTAGTCAACCAGACCAAAGAAGAATTAATCTTTTGAAATCAGAGGAGCGAGATAGTTCATTCTCAGCAGAAGAATATTAGAATCTGTCAGTATCGGTGTTTCGCTTTAAAAGAAGAAGAAGATCTTGGACCTCGGTATAATTTGAAATAAGGCTTACCTTTCTTTGTTTTGAATAGTTGGCATCGGTAGTCTCAATGCCCGTAGAATGAAGCCCTCCAAGAAAAGGAGATAGCACAGCTCCTGGTTCAACCAATCCGCCCCCAGCGGGTTCAGCAAACCCAGCTGCCCCAGTTTCATCGACCTCGGCATCAGCGGCACCAGGACATTCAGGTCGTGGTGTGTCCCGTTGTCTGTCAAAAAGAGAACGTGACGTCCTTACCAGCTATTTGCCCATCTCGGCCTCAGGCTCTCAGGAACTTACGGCTGGACAAATAGAAGCTCTCACTGACGATCAGCGTCTTGTGGTCAACGTTCTCGCAAGCGACTACAACAACATCGCCTGCGTCATCCCGGCAGTCGTCGAACAATACCTCTTGCAGGGTTTCAACGACGACTTGTTAGACTATGATGAGGAAGATTTCCATGGCACCAGATCTGCCGCCAACAAAGGAAAGCTTCCGGAAAACGTTGGAACCAGACAGCCCCGTAAGCAAGTCTCCAACATAGCTGTTTCAGTGATCTCTTTGTCGACCAGTAGCGACGACGTCGACATCAAGAAACTGAAGCCATCCCCGTCATTTTTAGAAACACTAGATGTCAAGCCTGCCGTTGATCCTTTCGACGGGTTGAACCTCAAACCCTACGAGGTAGCAGCGTTTCGTCAGTTCCAAGCAATGAAGAACAACCCCGACACCCTAGAGGCCCAGATAAGCGATCTTCATCTCCGAGGATCCAGGGATGGTACTCCGGTGTTGGAAACCCGAGCTAGAACGACATCAGTACAACCAGCTCTCTTGAGGGTTCAAGATCAATCGTCGGTAGCCAAGGTAGTAGCTGTGGAACCAGTAGGTGCTGGGATCGAAGTAAAGTTTGTGGAGGATCCGAGTGTTATAATCAAGGGACTTTACCGAGATAAGATCCCTTGATTCTCCGGCGTCAGTCAAGACGTGTCCACGTACTTCGATAACTTCCGAACAGAACTCGAAATGCGGTTCTGTCATCCGGATGTCCAGCACCAAGTCGCTTTCCCATGGGTCTCTGGGGCGGCGAAGGAGATTCTTGTCAAAGCGGTATGGGACAACAAACGACAAGTCTCTTACGATTCATTGGTAGCTTTCTTTATGAATGCCTTTCCTGCCACTGTTGATCTCAATATGGTGGACCAGGAAATGGATAACTTGAGACAGAATGAAGGAGAAACCATCATTGCTTACTGGATTCGTCATCAGCTTGTAACGCAGAAAGCTGATATTCTCAAATTACCTTACAATCCCGTGTTGACCTTCAAGAAAAGGCTCATTCATGGTGAAGTTAAGAAGCATGTCAACAATTACATTGCCATGAAGAAGTTGGACGGCATAACTCCTCAAATTCAGGACGTCGTTGCCGTCGCCATCGAGCGCGATCAGCGCCCGGATATCAAACACTTTGCTAGGGGCGCTCCTTGTCGTGACACGGCCAGCGCCATGGTTTCTACCTCTCTCCACCAGAACGGCAATTGGAAACGACGACGTTCAAGGATGGAAAGCAGCGGGGGTAGGGGTAATGGTCCGGATGTTATTTGTTACAACTGTAACCAGCGAGGTCACCGCTTTGGATCGATCGAGAGACCAACCTGTGGTGCACCCATCACCAGCAAGACTCAGGCCTACTTTGAGAAGATTTCAAAGAAGCCGCGAGTCGAGTCCAATGATCCTGTAGCTAGTGGTAGTGGGCAGTCAAAAGCCCCGGCAAACTAGGCGAGGCTCTGCCTTGTTTGCCTTATCTGTTTACTTGTGGGCAGTAAATGATTCTCTGAGTAATGCAGCATTGTTTCCGTCCATGTTTGAAGAGCCAACAAAATCATCCTCGAGGGATGAGCCCTCGGGAAGCGACAGTTTGACTGTCGGTGAGCCAGCTGAGATAGCTGAAGTACTTGTCTTAAAAGACGATGTGACTAAGTATAGTGCCTCATATCAGGCACAAAGCTCCAACAAAGGTGACAGTGAGTCTGTCCGCAATTCAGAAGACGATCTGAATATAAATCCTTCCGATGTTAGTAAGGATATAGAGTCTCGTGCATTAGAACACGACTCCACCTCGATACAAAGTTCTCCGTTAGGTGTATTGGGAAGGGAAACAGGTGAAGCTGTTTCCATCTCTGGGGTTACAGAGAACCATAGCCAAACGTTTATGGATGATGTTGGAAATTTGCCGGCCAGCAATTCCAAGATCCCCGGGACGGGGTACGTTGACCTTGATTCAGTCAACCACCTGGCTGTGTTGGACAATGGCACGGGTGAGAACCGTGTGGATTTTGTTCTTGTTTTGAACGATGTCATTACAAAAATACTCATCAATACAGGAGCATTGATGAGTTTCGTATCAGAAGAGTATGTGAAGAAAAGAAAGCTGCCCACGAAAGAAAATTTGGATCACCCTATACACAGGGGCAAAAATTGATGCTCACAACTATGTGAGCGTTGAAATTTTCCTGTTTTGTTCCCATTTGTTTCCCATTTATTTCCAATTTGTTTCCAATTTGTTTCCAATTTGTTTCCCATTTGTTTCCCATTTGTTTCCCTTTTCTTTCTGTTTGTCAGCTGATTACGTGATCATCAGGAACTGAGCAGACAAACTAAGCCTTCCTCAGCATTTATTCCTGAGCAAAGAAGTCTGAGGAAGGGCTGATCCTGAGCAGCATTCCCTGGTTCAGTAAGCTCCAAGGGATGCCACCAATGTATAGCTTAGGGGCTGAGATGAACTGAGTATTCCCTTAGCTAAGTCTCTGAAGTATCCCCCAGATGGATCACAGAGCGCCAAGCTTGCCTCAAGCTTGATGGCTCCGGAATGAAGCCTGAGGCCCGTCTGCTTGTTCAACTGAGCTGCTCAGTTATTCCTCAGGGGCATCCCTGAGATCAGGAGGATCCGGAGGATTTCACTGCTCATTGGATGAGGGGCTGCTCAGTTATTCCTCAGGGGCATCCCTGAGATCAGGAGGATCCGGAGGATTTCACTGCTCATTGGATGAGGGGCTGCTCAGTTATTCCTCAGGGGCATCCCTGAGATCAGGAGGATCCGGAGGATTTCACTGCTCATTGGATGAGGGGCTGCTCAGTTATTCCTCAGGGGCATCCCTGAGATCAGGAGGATCCGGAGGATTTCACTGCTCATTGGATGAGGGGCTGCTCAGTTATTCCTCAGGGGCATCCCTGAGATCAGGAGGATCCGGAGGATTTCACTGCTCATTGGATGAGGGCCTGCTCAGCTAGTCCTCAGGGGAATTCCTGGCCGGATCAGAAGGATCCAAAGGATGTCACTGAGTATTGGCTGAGGGGCTGCTCAGTTGATCTCAGCCCCTCAGTGTGAAAAACTTTATCCGGGGATATCACTGAGGATTAGCTGAGCAATGAGCAGATGGGATGACGCTTTTATCAGGCTTCATTCCTTAGCAAGGAAGTCTGAGAAAAGTCCGGCCCATCAGTGATCCAGTCAGGGGATGCTACTGAGTATTTGCTGAGCAGCTCAAATGGGACGCCCCTGGGCAGGCCTCTTCACTGAAAAATGAAGCCTCAGGAAGGTATAGTTCATGTGCTCATCTTCATTTTGAACAAATTGCTGAGTATTCAGTGCCTCATGAGCTGATCCTGAGTACTCATCGGGAATCAGTTATTGCTCATCCAAGATGGAAATGAGCCTTCTCAATAAATGTCAAGTAAAATATGAGAACCACAGGATGATCACCTGAACACAAACAAGATTGTGAATTGAATCAATCTGAAAGAAAATGAATCTTTTTTTGGAGAATTCCAAAAAGTCTACAACGCTCACATGTATGTGAGTATCTATTCTGGCCCCTGTGATAGTGCGGGGTGTTTGGGGTCAACCTTACGTTTGTAAGAAATTAGCATCAGTAAAATTTTCCTTGTCAGGGTTAAACTTTACTCAAAGCTGTCGAGTAGCTCCCTTAACTAACCATGAAGTGATTTTGGGACTTGACTGGATAAAGGCACATGCCTTATCCACCAATTGGACAAAAGGAAAGTGGCTTTTGAGGGATAAAAACGCTAGGCGTGCGATGTTTTACCCGTCAAAAGTTTAGATACCATCCATTCGCCAACATACCATCAGCGGATTGAGCGAGGTCTCTCCGGAGGATATTCCTTATACAAGGAGTCAAATGCGTCGCGCGATGCGACGCCCAGGGACTGAAGTGTATCTCCTTCAAACGAACGAAACACTCAGTCCAGTGGAAGAAGTTGAAGGGCCACGAGAAGCTCCTACCCCTTGTATGCCAAGGATAGAGGCTTCCGACCCTCGCGTGAAGGAACGTGTCGAGCAACTGCTCGACCGGTTCAAACCTCTATTCAATGAGGTATTGGAGGCGCCGAAGCAAGAAAGGGTGGTACAGCATCTCATTGACACAGGAGACGCTGCCCCCGTCTCCCAACCTGTACGTCGTTTGTCACCCTTGCTCTTGGATGAGCTAAGGAACAAGCTAGATGTCCTTCAAAAGAATGGCTTCATTCGGCCCTCTACATCCCCTTGGTCGTCACCTATCCTTTTTGCCAGAAACACATTGGGAAAACTTCGGTTTTGTGTGGATTACCGGGCGGTTAATGCTCTTACCAAAAGAGATAGGCATCCGCTTCCGCTGATTCAAGATTGCTTCGATCAGTTACACGGAGCGCGGATATATTCTAAATTTGATTTGCAGCAAGGGTTTCACCAGATGAAAGTCTCCTTGCCACATGTCCCAAAGGCAGCGTTTAGCACCCGGTATGGCCATTATGAATGGCTGGTGATGCCTTTTGGGTTAGTGAATGCTCCCTCGACTTTTCAGAGGATGATGTCTGACATTTGACGACCTTTCTTGGACAAGTTTGTGCAAGTGTATATGGATGACATATTGGTCTATTCAAACAGCCCGGAAGAACACAAAGAGCATGTTTGTCTTGTTCTCCAAGCTTTGGAAGACGCTGAACTTAAAGTAAGTGGATCAAAATCAATCCTCTTCGCCGACGAAATTCAATTCGTCGGGCACATGATTTCAGCCAACGGGATCCGTCCTATGGAAGATAAGATCAAGGCCATTCAAGAATGGCCAAGACCTTCAAATGTTCACGATGTTAGGTCTTTCTTGGGTCTAGCGGGATACTATTGTCAATTTATCAAAGACTTTTCGAAGATAGCTTCGCCACTTTATGAGTTAACATCAGGAAATGTAACAAAGAAGGCAAAAATTGAATGGTATCCGAAGCATGAGTCAGCCTTTGTCAAGTTAAAGGCAACCATGCTTGACGCACCAGTCCTCATAGTTCTGGATCCAATGAAGCCGCATATCATCAAGACTTATTCGAGTGATTATGCGGTGGGGGCGGTTCTACTACAAGTGGGACCCAACGGGAAAGAACACCCGATAGCCTATGAGCCGGCAAAGCTGAATTCAGCGCAGCAAAATTACCCGGCTCAGGAAAAGGAACTCTTGGCCATGATTCATGCATGGCGCAAGTGGCGCAACTACGTGGAAGGTGCAGTATCTGACACGCTAGTACGTTCTGACCACTTGAGTCTCACCGGACTTCAGACTCAGGTTCAGCCATCCAGGCAACTAAGTCGTTGGATAGAAGAATTTGCCAAAATGACCATTAAAGTCGAATACAAGACCGGTATTACTAACATAGTACCGGATGCCTTGAGTCGACGTAGTGATCTTTTGGAAAGCGTATATGACAACGTGACCGGCTTACAAGATCCTTTGGATTGGCCGCTCTTGGTGCCATATGTTCTCGGACAAAGAGAACTACCAGAGTGGGTAAACAGCACTCTGACAGATGTTATGGTCACGGCAAGGGTTCTGTCGACGGTCAACGGAAGGGGTGCAGGGGTTCTGTCTTGTATAGTTAGATTGTCGAATGGAGAGAAGAGAAACTGTACAAGGGTCGTAATCTGTAGTACAATATCTCCCTTCCTGTGACATGAGATGTTACATGTCCTGTTACATATCGTGATCGTAACATTATCCCCCCTTTAATGCCCAGACTTCCTCTTGCTGGTCCTGCATTCTGCCCCCGGGTAGCATTAAAAAACCCATTTTGGGAAAAAGCTTACCCTCTCATTTCTTCTTCCGTCTCCTTGATTTGTATTTGCTTGGTGCGTCTGGAAATCTTGCGTTAAATTCATTCACTAATTGTTCACAATTTGACATATTTTTCTCCGGTTCCCATGAATTGTGCTCCTTGCCAAACCCTTTCCAGCTTACTAAATATTCCCTACGCTTTCTTTGAATTCGACTATCTAAAATTTCACCCACTTCCCATTCTTTTTCGCCATTGACTTCAATTGCTGGCGGTGTTGTTTCCTTTCGACCTACAATACTATCCAAAACATGTTTTCTCAGCATTGACACGTGGAATACAGGGTGAATCCCTCTCATTGAAAGGGGTAGTGACAGTTTATAAGCAGCTGTCGAGATTTGTTTCTCAATAGTGAATGGACCTAGCCAGCGGTAGTCTAATTTCGGACTGGGTCTTGTCGTTGATATGTTTGTGCTTTTCAGCCAGACTTGATCTCCTACTTTCCAATGTGGTGTTGGTTCGATGTGTTTGTCGAATTGCTTCTTCATTGTTTCTTGGCTAATTTTCAAACATTCAGTTAGTTCTGATTGTACCTCCTCTAGGTTCTTTAGTTGTTTGTGAACTAATGTCAAACATTGGTCCTCAGTGGGTACTTTACCAAATGCAGGATTGTAACCGTAGTTTGCCTTGAATGGCGATATTCCAGTTGAGGAGTGGTCGTTGTTGTTATATGCGAATTCTGCCATTGGTAATAAAGCGGTCCAGTTGTCTTGGCGATAATTCACAAAGTGTCGTAAGTACTGCTCTACGACTTTGTTGACAATTTCAGTTTGACCGTCCGTCTGTGGGTGGTAAGCTGTCGATGGTTGAAGTCGAATACCCAATCTCTTATCAATCTCCTGTGTGATCTGGGATATGAATACACTTCCGCGGTCTGACACAATGGTCTTCGGCGTTCCGTGTACTTCCACACGTGGGTGGTCATGAGGTCAGCTAATTCCAACGCGGACATTGTCTCTTTGCATGGCAAAAAGTGTGCCATCTTTGTCAGTCGGTCGATAACTGATAAAATGGCATTGTTACCGTCTGATTCAGGTAGTCCGGTGATCATATCGTAACTGATATCGGTCCAGGGCCCTGCTGGTATAGGGAGAGGTTCTAGGGCGCCGTGGGGTCTTTTCGTTGTCGGCTTGACTCGTAGGCATGAGTCGCATGTGTCCACATAC